AAAGGATAAAGGCAAGGGAAAGGCCAAGGCCAATCCCAAGCCCAAGCCCAAAGGACATGATGCTCTCAAGCTTATGGGTGGCGTTGGGAAAGGTAGGAAGGTAGCTTGCTTTTATTGTGGCAAGCCTGGCCACTTGAGGAAACATTGTAAGGATTTCCTCGCGAACAAGAAGAAGTCAGACGCTTTGACTTCAGGTATGTATATGATTGAGATTAACTTCTCTCCTTCAACATCTTGGGTCAAGGATGTGGTACTCATATTTGTACTGATGTGAAGGGACTAAGGCATAGTAGATTGCTCGCCAAGGGAGAAGTGGACCTACGAGTTAGAAATGGAGCACATGTGGTTGCATTAGCTGTAGGGACTTATTGTTTATCTTTGCCTATGGGCTTGTTACTGGAACTTCATGATTGTTATTTCATACCTTCGATTACTAGAAATATCATTTCAATATTCATTTTGGATAATATAGGATATCTTTTTGAGATTTCTAAGGGATTGTTGTCCTTTAGTTTGAATGGTATTCTATTTGGAATTGCAAGGATATCTAACGGATTATATGTTCTTGATTTAAACAATAAAGATATTCTCAATGTTGAAACTAAGAAAGCTAAACATAGCAATTGAAACCACACATACCTTTAGCATTAGAGATTGGGTCATGTTAATCAGACTTGCATTGCAAAACTTCAAAGGGATGGAGTTTTGGACCCTTTTGACTTCCAGTCATTTGAGGTATGCGAGTCATGCCTTTTGGGCAAGATGACCAAGTCACCTTTCATGGGACAAAGTGGAAGGGCTACTGAACTATTAGGCATCATCCATAGTGATGTATGCGGTCCACTGGCACTTGAAGCCAGAGGTGGATATTCATACTTTCAGTAGATAGGGTTATGTCTACCTTATGAGGCTTAAATCTGAAGCCTTTGATAAATTCAAAGAATTCAAGAATGAAGTACATAATATGTTGGGCAAAAGTATTAAAGGGTGTATTTGTTTCTCTATTTTAATTAGGATTTTTGAAATCCTACCTAAAATACATATTTGTTTCCTTATTTTGAAAATCTAATCCTATTCGATTCAACTATAAACCCCTTAGGTTTTTTAATTTAACTAAATACCCCTAACAAAAAGAGTTTAGAAATTGACAAAAACACCTCTACCCACCCACATTTGCCAGATTCTGGCCACCACTGTTGGAAGGTAGCCGGATTTGGTGTAATGGCGCACTACCAGCTAGATTTGTTCGACAGTGCACAAATCTACCCTTTTCTGGCCAGATCCACCATAGATCTAGTTGAAAAATGCTAGATCTACAGCCAAAGATCTGGTCGTTGATGGCTAGATCTTTGGCCATAGCTAGTCGTCAATGACGGCCATATCTATGATATGGCCATCGTTGACCACCAAATATGGCTAGATCTGACCTTTTTTGGCCAAATCCATGACTGATCTGGTCGGAAAAGGCCATATCGATGCATAACTGACCAGATCCAACCAGTTGTACGCCATTATGGTGACTTCTGGCCACCCTTTGATGGTAGTGGCCAACTACCTGCATTTAATTAGTGGGTTGGGGTGTTTTTGTTAATTTTTAATGTTTTATTTTAGGGGTGTTTAGCTAAATTAACAAACCTAATGGGAGTTTTTGTTGATTTCCAAATCCTATCTCGTAATAACCACCCAACTTAACTTTTTCAAAAATCCTACCTAAAATAATAAAACAAACACACCCAAAGCTCTTTGGTTGGATCGATGAGGTGAATACTTGGACTCGGGTTTTTCTGAATACCTGAAGGAATGTGGGATAGTATCACAACTCGCCACTCCGTACACACCCCAACACAATGGAGTGTTTGAGAGGAAAAATAAGACCTTGCTTGACATGATGAGTTTTAGTGATCTACCTGCATCATTCTGGGGTTACGGCCTAGAGACTGTGACTCACGTACTGAATTTTGTGCCATCAAAGTCTATAGATAAGACTTCATATGAACTATGGAGTGGGTGAAAGCCCAACTTGTTTTATCTAAGGATTTGGGGTTGTGAAGCTTGTGTCAAGAAATTGACTTCGAACAAGCTAGGCTTGAAATCCTACAAATGTATATTTGTGGGGTATCCTAAAGAGATGAAAGAGTACTATTTCTACCATCTAAAAGAGCGCAAAATTTTTGTTGCTCATACTGGTGTCTTCTTAGAAAAAGAATTTTTTTCTAAGAAGTACTAGTGGGAGAAAAGTAGAACTCGATGAAGTTCTAGAACCACAAGATACATTAGATGAGAGATGGGAAGATGTGCTACAAGAAGTGGTTGAACATCGTGAGGAGGTTACTCTATAATCTGTGGATCTAAGTGAACCACCTTAAGTAGCATAGGAGCTACGTAGGTCAGGAAGAGTACACCATGAGCCTGAGAGATATGGTTTTCTCGTGACTCAACATGATGATGTATTGGTTTACCAAGACAATGAACCCAAAACCTACGAAGACGTTATATTAGACCCAAATTCCCTTAAATAGCTTGAAGCCATGAAATCCGAGATGGACTCCATGTACCAAAACCAAGTATGGTATCTAGTGGATCCACTTGAAGGGGTAAAACCCATAGGGTATAAATAGGTCTTCAAGAAGAAGCCTGACATGGATGGCAAGGTGCATACCTATAAAGCACGACTGGTTGCCGAAGGTTTCAAACAAATTCATGGTATTGACTATGAAGAAACTTTTTTCCGATTGCCATGATTAAATCCATCTAGATTATGCTTGCAATTGCTACATATCATGACTATAAGATTTGGCAAATGGATGTCAAATCGACTTTCTAAATGGAAACCTTGAAGAAGATGTGTATATGACACAATCCAATGGTTTCGTTCTTGATGGACAAGCTAATAAGATATGCAAGTTACAAAGGTCCATTTATGGACTCAAGCAAGCTTTGAGGAGCTGGAACATTCGTTTTGATGAAGGCGTAAAAGAATTCGGTTTTATCAAGAACGAAGATGACCTTTGTGTTTACAAGAAAGTAAATGGGAGCGCAATGACATTGCTGGTGTTGTATGTCGATGACATACTTCTGATCGGGAATGATATACCAAACTTGTAGTCGGTAAAGACTTGGTTATCCAAGTGCTTCTTCCTAAAGGACTTAGGAGAAACAGCCTATATCCTCGGAATAAAGATCTATCGAGATAGATCGTGCAAGTTGGTTGGCTTAAGTCAGAGTACCTACATTGACAAGGTACTGAAGAGATTCAGTATAGAAGAATCCAATAAGGGATTTCTTAGACTTCGTTTGGTTAGTTATTTTGAATATCATTCTATACTAGATAACATTTTTGGAAAACAGGATAAGATTCTGAGAAGTCTTTTGTACATTTTTTAATAACATTTTCTAAAAATATTTTTTTTTAACCCCTAGGTTTGTTAATTTAACTACACACTCCCCACAATAAAAGTTTATAAATTGGCGAAAACACCCCCACCCACCCACCCACATATTTCTGGTAGCAGGCCACCACCGCTGAAAGGTGGGCAGAATTTGCTTGAATGGCGCAAAACCGGTTAAATCTGGTCGGTCGTGCGCCAATTTGGTCTTTTTCAACCAGTTCTACGGCCACATATTTGACCGTTGACGGCCATATCTTGGCCGTTGTTGATGGCCAAACGACTGCCAAACGTGGTCAGATTTGGCTATCAACGACCAGATCTGTGGTCGTAGATCTGATAAAAACGAAAAAATGGGCACACGACCGGCTAGATTCAGTCATTCGTGCGTTGTTACGGCATCGACGGCTAGCAGTGGCTGCGGCGACGGTGGCGATAGCTGCTGGCGGGTGATAATGGTTTAGGTTGATAGGGGTGTGGGGGTGTTTTTGTTAATTTTAAAACTTTTATTGAGAAAGGTAATTATTAATGTTTTGAGTAGAATATAATATAATTGAATTTTGAGAATATTAAAATAAATATATTTTTAGGTTTTTAGGATAGGGTAGTGAGAGAGTAGCATGCCAAACGCATCCAAATAATATCGGCCGCGACCACATATGCAGCAACCACTAAAATCTCATAATTGCTTTTAATAACTTCCTAAAACCTCGTTATTATATAAGTTAGTGTGTGTTTGAGATTTCAGTAACTTAAGAAATAATCAATGAGGTTTTAAGCTACAACAATAAAAATGTTTGATATGCCACTTTTAGAATTAATTAAGTTTGAAACTGATTATAAAATAATTAGATTTATAAAATGATTCTAAAAGCTACTAAGGAGAACTTTTCAAAATGAAATTATTTTTAAAGTTGATTTTGTATGTTCAAATGACATATATACCCTTGCATTATACTTTTCATTTATGAAGAATTTAAATAAAAATTTATTTTTTAAATATATAATTGATTTTTTTGAAATAAATAAAATTGAACAAGCGGTGGAAACAGTTGATTGATGTCGGTGCAACATTGGATGTCGGTGGCGATTGATGGATTCTGGTGACTTGTGTTGCCTCTCATTGTCGATCTTGATAAGATTGACATGAGTCGATCTATTGGAATCCGATGGAAACACTGGATTCCAACTCGTTATTTGACCACAAAAGACGATCGAATGTTTCATTGCTTTTTGTGGCAAAACAACAAGAAGGAATCATGTAATTTTATTGGATTTTGATAGATCGACTGACGCTGATTCTAATATGACCGACCATAACATTAACGCTTTACCTTTCACCTATGGTAATGGTGGTTAATCGACTTTGACAGGTGGTGGTAGATCCAAATTTTTTTAAGTTTTTTTAATATTAGTTAATTTATTTACTTAACATAAATTTTTCTTATATTATTTATTATGTCCCTAACAAATTACAAATTTAGAATTATAGAAATATTTCAAGATTTATTAAAAATAAAGATAAGACAATTTAAAAGTAACGAGCAGAAAAAGGGTGAATGGCGTAAATACTGGATTGCTACATGAGGTTATGTAATATGTATTCAATTATTATTCAAAATTCATAATTGTGGAAGGCTTGAGAAAAGGAAGAGAAAAGAAAACCACTCTAAAATGGGAAATTGGTGAACTCCGAACAGATCTGAGATTCTGAAGGTCTTGCAGAACATCGGAACAGAGAAATCCTCAACATCCAAGAGGTTGCCGATGAACGAAATTATTAATCTATATCGTTTGAATGGTATGACCTTTAATTTTATGCAAATTCTTGAAGTCTTTAAGATAATAATCTGCCGATCAAGCTTTTTTACTGTTTAGATCGGCCGTCGATCTAACAATGAAGATGACGGTGTCACCGGAGGCTGCCGTTCGGCGACCCCAAAGCAGCCAGTTTGCAGTTTTCCAGAAATTAATACCATATATATATATATATTAGATTTTTAATTTAATTAGATTTTTATTTTAGAAAACAGGAATTTAGCTTCTTCATTTGTAGATTTGCAGAGCACCTCAAAAACTTAGAACAATTTGCATAGATCTAAAGGTATTGTCATCCAAACGGTCTAAATTAATCATTAACGAATTTCGTTCATTGGCGGCCTCTTGGGATGTTTGATCGTCTTTGTCTCCGTGTTCTGCAAAGTCTTGAGAATCTCACTTATCTGTTTGAGAATTAGTCAATTTCCCATTTTCGAGTGGTTTTGTTTTCTTCTTCCTGAAGAAGAAAGGGGCCCTTTATATAGATCTGATGATGAGGGGTTAATGCCACTTGGAGCCTAAATTTGCCGCTGCATACGTGATTTGATGGTATGAGGACGAGCATATGATTTGTGATTTGATGGGAGAATGAGGTAAATGCATATGGGTTGACCTTGGCAAGTTGTTGAAATTGTAGTTGGAACATTGGTGTGCTTTTTTGTTTTTATATTGGTTCAATAAATTGATCTGTTGAGATTGCGGAGACTTTATGTTAGGAATAATAATAATTCATAAGCACTTCTGGTAGTAGATAATAATAAACCTGTTTTTTCATTTTTTTGGTAAGAATATGATGATTATGGTGTGTGTATCTGAAAAAACAGCTGGAAAGGCACTCCCTATTCTAAATGGGTAGAAGTGAGCTGTTGGTTTCTGTGTTGAAGACATTTGGGATAAACGTACATGCAATAAAATCCTTCACAAGCTGAGTATCATGGCTTTATCATTTATGCTGGTGGTGTCTTTTTTCCTTCTTGTTTTATACATTTTTCCATGTGCAGTTGCACAGTTTTGGGACTATTTGATGCTATTTTCTTTTAAATATGTAAACTAAGTGTTCACTAGGTTTTGTGACTTGGTTTTCATCAGGAAACAAAATCTTGTGTAAACACTCAGAAACTGCTGCGTTGGTCTACTACACTGCATGGTTGTTGAATTTGATATCAAAATTAAGTACGTGGTAAAAACTCCTCTCAGTTGTATTTATTTACATATGTTTGGAAGAATGAGTATTAACACTGACTTCATCTGTTTCAAGATTTAAGATGTCTCAAATTTTGCCTACTGCAATATGTTATGTATCGGTGGCCTTTTTATATTGGTGTTTAACCTGTATATATGGGTTTATCATCCTATACGCTAGTCCTTCGGTTATGCCCTTATATTTTGATTATGCAGTGTCGTTTATATTCAATGTTTGGCTCTGGAGAGTGTTGAAGAAGCTTTGATAAGACTTAAAAAATTGCATTTGGCAAGTTCTACTTCTGGAAAGAGCAATTGAATGCTGCTTGTTCTGACCTTGAGAAAAGAAGAAAACTTTAGAAAGAGACTTGAGTTCCTATAGGCATCTTTCAGTCCGAAAGCAGCTTCTCGCAAGCAGGCATCTTTCAGTCCGAAAGCAGCTTCTCGCAAGCAGGCATCTGTCAGACCAAAAGCGTTCTTTATTTGCTTATTTTTCCAGTTGAGACATTGATTTTCTCTTAAAAGCCAATATTTGTTGGACTTCAAAATAACTGCTTTTCATGATCTGTCTATTATGTGTATTACTTTTAGTAACATGTTTTCTACGAATAAATTATGTCACGTACCTGATTACCAGGGACCCACTAGGTCCAACACATCCTCTAGAGGTGGACATTTGGGACTGGGTCTAAAAACTCGGCCCAAAAACCTAGTCCTATGACCGGTCCTTGAGAGGACCGATCTTAGGAGGTCTGATCCCCAAATTGGATTATACCTAAGGAGGAGGGTTTGGTCCCAGGCTTAGGTCTAAACTTTTTTAATTATTTTCCTTTTAGTCCCTTGTATAGTTACATAAAATTCTTTATAAATTTTGAAATAAATATAAATTATAGGGGTTAAAAAGAATTTTTACAAAATTAAAAAAAAAAAAAATTTGGAACTTTTGTTTATTGCCATCAACCTTTTTTTTCAGGGGTGAGGGGGAGTTTTTTTTTTTTTCTTTCCCCCCCCCCTCCAACTACACTATAAATAACTCTCAAATCTCTACTATTCTAAATCTTCAATCAAATTCTCATTCAATTTATATTTATATTTATAATTTATTCATATTATTTATTTATATTATTCAATTTTTTCTATTTTTCATTATCATCTCTTATTCATATTATTATTTAAGTTTTTTTCATTTTAATTATTTATTGTTTTATCATAAATTCATAATAGATTCCCGAAATGATACATTCGGAGGATCATCCCTAAATGGGTTTTACGTTCCATTCACCGAAGAAATAGTAAGGTTCAATCCATTTTCATCATTTCCTCTAGAGACAGCAACTGTAATTCCACAACCACGTTCGGCTAGGACGAGGTATAGTCAAACACATGCGAGCTGCGAGTCAACGGGCACAAGCATAGCCCAACCCCCTGACTGTCAAAGAGGGTCGTGTCTGATGTATGACGACACTTCACCAAATTAAAACGGCCAAAGACATATGGAGAGGGGAAAAAATTGTGTGAGGTATGTAATTTCTGTGGAACCATTTGGGGGGGGGAGAGGTTTTTTTTTTTTTTTTTTTTTTTTTTTTTTTTCATTCCTCCTCTCCCACAACTACACTATAAACAACCCCCAAATCTCTCATTTTTTCTACACTACTCAATCTCTCTACTCTCTATTTCAAATCTCCAATTAATTTCTCATTCAATTTATATTTATATTTATAATTTATTCATATTATTTATTTATATTATTCAATTTTTTCTATTTTTCAATATCATGCCTTATTCATATTATTATTATTTTTTTTAATTTTAATTATTTATTATTTTATCATAAATTCATAATGGATTCTCGAAATGATGCATTCTGAGGATCATCCCCAAATGAGTTTTACGCTTCATCCACTGAAGAAATAGAAGAGTTCAATCCATTTTCACCCTGTCGTCTAGAGGCATCAACTGCAATTCCACAACCACATTCGGCCGGGACGAGGTGTAGCCAAACACATGCGAGCTGCGAGTCAACATGCACGGGCATAGCCCAACCCCCCCAACCATCAAAGAGGGTCGTGTCCGATGTATGACATCACTTCACCAAATCAAAACGACCAAAGACAAATGGGGAGGGGGAAGAATCGTGTGAGGTATGTAATTTCTGTGGAACTATTATTGGCGCTGAGAAGGGGACTTCGATGATGCGGCGACACTTGGTGAAGAAGCACCCTCAAATAATGTAGCTGCCCGGTACATCTTCAATCGAATCAGGTAGGTAGATTCAAACTCAACTTAATTTTAATTCACAATCCTCAAGTCTCTCAACATGGCAATACAATACGCACATGTTGCACGAGAGGAAATATCAAGATTCATAGTTGCTACGGACTCTCCCATTTGTTTATTTGAAAATCCTTATTTTATTCACATGATTAAAACTGTATTTTGTCCAACATATACCCCGGTTAGTAGAAGTACAAGTAAAAGAGATATACTAAAACTTTATAACAAAATAAATAATAAACTTAAGAACGAATTTCAAAATTTTAGGAATATATCTATTGCACTTATATCCTATATATGAGCTTGTAGATCAAAAACCGATTTTTTAACTGTCACAATACATTTCTTAGATCATAATTGGGGTTTATAACAAAAATTGATAGGTTTTAAACCATTATATGAAAAACATAGTGCTGAGACTATTTATTTTACAATTCTTGAAATTTTGCAAGAATATCTATTAACTGATAGAGTTGTAGTGCTAACGCTTGATAATGCAGCTGCTAACACTGCAACAATCTCTTTATTTGAAAAGAGATTGAATCCGCGTGGTGAAGACAAATTTTTTCACCAGATATGTGCTTGCCACATTATCAATTTGATAGTTAAAGTATATTTAGATGCTATACATTGGAAGATGGAAAGGGGGTGCGCTGCTATCGGATTTATCATCGGTGGTAGCAATAAAAGATGGCAAGAGTATGTCAAATATTGTAGGTAAGAGGACCCACCGGTTCGACCTTTGAAGTTATGTACGGACATGCCTATTTGTTGGAACTCCATTTACTTAATGTTGGAAAAAGCTTTGCCAACCGTAAAACAAATTACAGATTTCGCCAACCGGAAGCACTATCCAAATGAAGTTGTCAGCTATGATGATTGGGTGATTTGTGTATTTTTTTATTCATTTCTTAAAATTTTTTATGATTCTACTAATATGTTAAATGATATTTATTGTCCGACTGCTAATTTAGTGTTAGATATTTGACTTCAAATTGCTAAAACTTTTGCTAAATATAGATATAATGACGTTTTAAGGGAAATTGTTTCAAAAATGGAGGAAAAATACGAGAAATATTGGTTAGATATTCTATTCTTATATACATTAAGCCTTGTTGTAGATCCTAGGTTTAAATTACACATAGTTAACTGTATAATTATTGAGTTGGACTAGCATTTAAGACATAATTATACGTCTTATTTGACTGACTTTAAGCAAAAATTGGAAAACTTTTTTCCTTTATATGAGAACAGGTACAATGGAAGTGGAAGTAGAACGTTCATGAGAGACAATTAGGACCCTGATGCAGACCTCCGTCAAGGATCGAGCAAGTGGATGTCTATGGAACATGGCAGAAGTAGCAGCTCCAGCTTGTACATACATGGACCAAATGAGCTGAATCGCTACTTACAAGTGGACCTGTCCTTCATGACAATGAAGGAGAAATGTGACATGGATATTCTTCAATGGTAGAACCAACATGAAAGTGGATTCCCCATTGTAGCCCAAATGGCAAGTGACATTTTATATGTGCCAGTTTCTGCAATTGCATTCAAGTCAACATTTTCAATGAGTGGTCGGATTGTTGAAGACAGAAGATGTTATTTAACCGATGAGATGATTAAAGTGATAATGTGTTTACGGGATTGGACTCATGTAGAAAGAAGACTATAACAATACCCTGAAAATCCCGAACTACTCGAACTTTTTAGGGATACATATTTGAATGATTTAAATATTGTTAACGATGAAAATGAATAATTTAATAAAAAAAATTATTTAATTGTTTATTTGTGAAACGTGAATGTGTAAAATGTGAATGTTACATTTACATTAAAATTAACTATTTATTAATTAATTAATTTTTAAAATTAATTAAACTTTTAGAAACTTACTAATCTACCCTTAAAAATTACTAAAAACCCCCTATAGAATTTTATTTCACCCCTAAAATATAAAAAAAAAATCAGGGTAAAAAAATAAATTTTGCAGGCCCATAGGACCGGTCCCTAGGTCCTAAAATTGCTCATGGTCCCAAGCCCATGAGCGACTGTTCCCAAATGGGACCAATCCCAAAAGGACTAGTCCCAAACGGGCCTAGGCCCGAGCTTGCTTGGGACCGATCCTTGACCACCTCTAACATCCTTTTTAGAGACCTGATGTTGCCATTAATAGTCTGGTTGCTAATTTGACTTTATTGGTCTAATATCTGGTAAGCCTTACCTGCAAACTTAACCTAAATGAGGAAACATATATTGAACAATAGGCTCTCTCACATCAAAACGTTAAACTAGGATTTTTTTTTTTTTTCATTTTTCTTTATCCATTTGTATGTGGGGATTCGAACATGAGATTTTTGGCTCCGATTCCATGCAAGTTGTCATCCTAATATGCATACTAATTGTAAGTAATTGATATACCAAACGCAGCGGAAAACAAAAATTCAATCGGTAAATCAATTTCCTTTCTTTGCCTAGATCCGAGTATAAATTATACTGTTTACATGTTTATAAACAAAAATCTATATAAAGTAAATCCATTCAAGGATTAGAATGCTTACGTACGTTTGGAGGCTCCTTCGAATATCTCTAATTTCGGACAGGAATACTATTCACGTGATTTTTCGCCAATCGATCCAAAGTAGGATTGCACTCACGGAAGTCCACATGAAGATAATCCGCTGAACCCTTGGTTATTTTGTTAGAACAATCAAGGGCTTCAACAATCAAGAAAGAAGAACAAAAAAAGTTTTCTTCTTGAAAGAGAGAGAGAGAGAGATAGGGTGGCTAAGGTTTTAATTGAATGAACAATTCCCTTATGCTTTAATTTTAAGTTGCACTTATACAGTGCAACAATTAAAACCCGATTCCACTTAAGAATAGCCATGAGCTCCAACCCTAGTTTACCCTTGCAACCAAACACACTCTTTATGGTATTTTAATTAATTAATTATTATTATAATTAAAATCAATTAATATATAATAATATATTAATATTTAATTATTAATAATAATTCATTTAAATATATACATAGATATATTTAAATATAATCTCACTAATTTAATTTTAATATTAAAATTAAATACATGCAACAACCTCAGCAAATTTAATTGCACTGTGAGATTACCAAAATACCATTTCATCCTAAAAGACGAAAATACCCTTCTCACAAATTGATTTTTAAACTCTCTTCTAAGTGTGTGACCTGCAGGCTCCTCATCATATCGGCAGTGTGTAGTATCACGATTAATACCAATTAATCGTCTCACTACACATGGACCAAGATTGGCCCCTA